GAGGAGGAGGAGGAGGAGGAGGAAGAAGAGGAAGAAGAGGAAGAGGAAGAGGAAGAAGAAGAAGAAGAAGAAGAAGAAGAAGAAGAAGAAGAAGAAGAAGAAGAAGAAGAAGAAGAAGAAGAAGAAGAAGAAGAAGAAGAAGAAGAAGAAGAAGAAGAAGAAGAAGAAGAAGAAGAAGAAGAAGAAGAAGAAGAAGAAGAAGACGACGACAACTGTGGGGTCATTGGTGCTCTCTGAGCTTGCTTGTTTTCTTGAAGACGTCTCATTACCCAAAGTAGGGAACTTCTGATGACTCCATAATTCACTACAAAGACCATGGTATCTTGAGCCACCCTATTAAGGTAGCCTCAGAATGGATGGATGGTCCTCCAGGACCACCGTTCTGAAGTTCTCCAGCACCATCCGAGGGACCACCTCAATCAGCTCGCTTAAAGGTTCAGCTGGATGAATATCTTCCCATGAAGAACCAACCTCTGCCAATTAGCATCATAACCTCTAAGCAGCAGACATAATTAGCTAACCATTTTATTTCCTTCATCCATCATTTTGAGCAGTTTGGGAAATACCACTGATATTCCTTGAGGCCAAGTGACAACGGGGTTGATACCACGTTGATTTCAACAAGTCTTGGAAAACAGACATGGAGCATTTGAAACCAAAAACCAAAAAACCTCTTAACATACAGCATTTTCCATTTTGATGCAAACTTTGTGTAGAAAATCGACAGCTGGCTTACAAGACCTGGCAAGCAAATAACCCGAAGACCAAGGCCGTTATTACTTACGTCATCTTCTTTCGTTCCACCCCAGAAATTTGTTCCACCAGCATAGCTTGGGATGTTCAAAACAGCTATGCCTTGAAGGCTTGGAAGAGGGATATATTGTCCATCGCACTGCAAAGGTATAAAATACCGTATAAATAACCACAAAAATATACTGGGGTGTCCATTAATCACAGGTATCGGTTAGACTTGAAAGGTAACTTATAGGCGCGGTGGTGACACAGTGGTGAGAATGCGGTATTGCAGGCTGACTCTGCCTACTGCCAAGAGTTCGATCCTGATCGGATCAAGGTTGACTCAGCCTTCCATCCTTCCCAGGTCGGTAAAATGTGGACCCAGATTGTTGAGGGCAACAGGCTGACTCTTAAACCATTTAAAGGGGGCTATAAAGCACTGTGGAGTGGTATATGTCCAAGTGCTATTGCTATCCTTCCTCCCTCCCTCCCTCCCTCTCTTCCTTCCTTCCTTCCTTCTTTCCTCCCTCCCTCTCCCCTCCCTCTCTTCCTTCCTTCCTTCCCTCCTTCCTTCCTTCTTTCCTCCCTCCCTCCCTCTCTCCTCTCCTCTCCTCTCCTCTCCCTCCCTCCCTCCCTCCCTCCCTCCCTTCCTTCCTTCCTTCCTTCCTTCCTTCCTTCCTTCCTTCTTTCCTTGGTGGCACAGTGGTTGGAATGCAATTCTGCACTCTGCCCACAGTCAGGAGTTCGATCCTGACCAGCCCAAGGTTGACTCAGCCTTCCATCCTTCCCAAGTCCGTAAAATGAGGACCCAGACTGTTGAGGGCAAGAGGCTGACTCTGTAAACCATTTAGAGGGGGCTATATAGCACTATGAAATGGTATATAAGTGTTGTTGCTATTGCTAACCTATCTAGCTTCCTTGCTTAGCCAGGATGTTCTCTGCATGTTTCATACATGGACTTCGGCTTACAGTCTTTCATTATACAATGGCCAGAACACTTCTTCAGTATACGAAAATACCTTCTAGCTTTCTACGGAGACAAGCCAGAGACTACAACAAGACCTTCAACCAACATCTGCTTCCAAATTTGGTTCCGAATTCTATCCTTATGACAAATAAACCGATATGAGCAAAATGAGGCAGCTTTAGATGGAGAGGGGCTGACGTTGAGTGACAGTACTGTATTGTGCTTGACCTTAGACCAGGGGTAGTCAACCTTGGCTCTTTTATGACTCGTGGACTTCAACTCCCAGAATTCCTGAGCCAGCTAAGCTGGCTCAGGAATTCTGGGAATTGAAGTCCACGAGTCATAAAAGAGCCAAGGTTGACTACCCCTGCCTTAGACTGTCTTTGAAAATGGTCTCTAGACTGCAGATACGATAGAATATGGAAGAGACTGTTGAGTAGAGGGATCCATAAAAATGGAACAGGGCTTCTTGACCAAGGTTTTAGATCTGTTCAGGCACTGTGGGATAAAATCAATTCCTTCCAGGCTTCTGAAGACACACCATGGATCTCTGGTCCTAAAGCAAGAGAGTCTTTTCTGCAGAAGAGTGTCTCTGGTGTGGTGTAGCCAGTAGTCCCAAAGTTCAGGACTGTGCAGTCTCTTAATTTGGGATTTCCCCTGGATATTTGGGGAAGCTCTGTGCTGCCAACACTCCATCCACCGCTTCCCCAAGTCCACCTTCCCCAAGTCCACCACGTCCACCTTCCATCACATCACGTGGATCAAGATGGTAGATAAATGTGTGATATCTCCCTCGGGCGACTATCCAGATTCCTCCTCAGATGTCAGCTCAGAGGAGGATGCACCAATTCCTGGCATGTCAGGAACTGAGTTGATTGAAGGCTCTGAACAGCCATCCAGAAGGGATTTGGCAGAGGCCTCAGCTGGGGAACATCTGCAGTGGCCGACGGCCAGCAAAGAGGAGGAAGAACTGCCTTCTGCACCTGATCCGAGAACACGTAGGGCAGAGAAAAGGCAGGAACAGAGAAGGTCAGCCAGACTACTCGAGAGGAGAGGGCCCTGCCCATCTCAATGGGCTGCACCAGAAAGCTGGCTATTTATCACAGCGGACAGATGGGGGTGCTGCTGGGAAACATGTGTTGGTTTTCTAGTGGTGTGTTTGATCGTCGTGATTCCTGCTTCACTCTGGACTGACATCGTGTTTGGAATTGTGCCTTGGAGACTCTGAACTTTTCTTGCCCAATCTTGTGTGTGGATTTAAGTTTTGCCTGGTGGATTTGAGTTTGTCCGGTGGAGTTATTTTGTTTGAGCAGCTTTCAAGTGCCTGGTGGACTAAGCGCCTTGTGATCTGCTCGTGGCTGGACTTGATTGAGATAGGGATTTAGATTTTGGTGAAGGGGGACATTAATAAACTCACTAAGCCACAGTTACATGCGTGTGTGAGTGAGAGGGGCAGCACAAAATGGCAGAAATAAATAAATGTGGTTTAATTGTAATACCCAGCCAGACTTTTTGTCTACTTGCGCGATGCAAAAAAGATGCTGAGACTCTCGAAAGAGGGCAGAGAAGAGCAACAAAGATGATTAGGGGACTGGAGGCTAAAGCATATTATAAGGAACGGCTGCTGGAATTGGGTATGTCTAGTTTAATGAAGAGAAGGACAAGGGGGGACATGATAGTAGTCTTCCAATATCTCAGGGGCTGCCCCAAAGAAGAGGGAGTCAAGCTATTCTCCAAAGCGCCTGAAGGCAGGACAAGAAGCAACGGATGGAGAAACTAATCAAGGAGAGAAGCAACCTAGAACTAAGGAGAAACTTCCTGACAGTGAGAACAATTCACCAGTGGAACAACCTGCCTCCAGAAGCGGTGAATGCTCCAACACTGGAAGTTTTCAAGAAGAGACTGGACAGCCATTTGTCTGAAATGGTATAGGGTTTCCTGCCTGAGCAGGGGGTTGGACTAGATGACCTCCAAGATCCCTTCCAACTTTACTATTATTATTATTATTATTATTATTATTATTATTATTATTATTATTATTATTATTATTATTATTATTATTATTATTATTATTATTATTATTATTATTATTTAATTCATCATCCCAGAGAGCAACGGCCACTAGATAACGTCCAGCTTTACAGCCAAAATCCACCCAAAATATCACAAAGCAGATTCATCTTGCCTCGAGGGAAACTAGACAACAGGGTGTCGTGAGGTTTAAGCCTTACCTCGAGTTGAACTTTCTGCTCCAGGTTTTTGTAAGTCCGTTGTAACAATTCTTTAGTACCGAGCACTCCGTACCACATCATGTTCTTCGTCCTACTTCTAAAAGGAAAAGCAGAGTGATCACGCAACGGCACGGGATTAACCCATCAGACGCATTCGGTAAGACATCAAAATCCCTGCTTGGATGTTAAGGGAAAACACAGGGATACAGATAGTCCTCGATTTACGACTGCAATTGAGCCTAAAACTTCTGTTGTTAAGTGAGCTTTGCCCCCCATTTTACGATCTTCTTTGGCCACCTCATTGACTTTGCTGGTCAGAAGGTCACAAAAGATCATCACATTTATTAATCCCCTTATTTATTTCTGTCTCTTTCAAAAAAATAGATCTTCAGTGAATCTTCCCTCTCTCCAGTGGTGACGCTGGGACGGTGCGACCGTCGTAAATGTGAACCAATGGCTAAGCATCCCAATTTTGATCACGTGACCACGGAGATGCTGCAACAGTCATTAAGTGTGAATACAGTCAGAAGTCACTTTTTTCCCCAGTGGCTGTTGGAACTTTGAACAGTCACTAAAGCAGTGGTTCTCAACCTTTTTAATGCCGCGACCCCAACCGGTCGTAAGTCGAGGATTAAACCGGTCGTAAGTCGAGGACTACCCAACCGGTCGTAAGTCGAGGACTTTCCCTGCCCGGGAGCGCCGCACATGCGTGGTTCCGCCCCCTGCGCCGGCCGAGGCGTAGCTGGCAAGCGGCAGAGACGGAGCAGGCTGACCACCAGCTGGCCCAGCCCAAGGGAGGTAAGGCACCCGCCGGAAAAGGGGAAAAAAATGGCGGACAAAAAAATGGCGGACAAAAAAATGGCAGACAGCCTTGCTTGGCGACCCCCGTGAAATGGCCGATCGACCGCAATGGGGTCCCGACCCACAGGTTGAGAACCACTGCACTAAAGGAATGTCCTACAAATGTATAGGCAAGGACTAGTTCGAATCTTCACAGTGGCTCACCTGCATTTCTCAGGATGCACTTCCCGTTTATTGTTAAACTCTAATGAAATCTTCGCATCTAATCCGATGCCAAAATAATTGTTCATGACGCACTTCTCTGAATAGCCTTCCCTGTACACAAATGCACAACCACTGTTGGTAATAGCGCACAGAGGACGCATGCACAGGTATACAAACAACAGCGCAGTTCTCGCTTCCCTCTTAGAGCGCCCCAAAGCCACCACTGTTATCCTATCTGAGAGGGGCCATCATAGTGGGCTGAGTATGGAAGGATCTTAGGATTGGCTATCAATCCAGATTCAAAGGGGAAGAAAGTAGTTTGGCTTGCACAGAGGCCCTCACATGGCAGCCATTTGCATTTTCTTACATCTAGAACCCAGGTGAACCCAGGAGAACTCAGGAGAACCCAGGAGAATCCAAGGGAACTTAGGAGAACCCAGGAGAACCCAAGAGAACCCAAGAGAACTCAGGAGAATCCAGGAGAACCCAGGAGAACTCAGGAGAACCCAGGAGAACTCAGGAGAACCCAGGAGAACCCAGGAGAACTCAGGAGAATCCAGGAGAACCCAGGAGAACCCAGGAGAACCCAGGAGAACTCAAAACCCAGGAGAACCCAAGGGAACTTGGAAGAACCCAGGAGAACACAAGAGAAGTCAGGGGAACCCAGGAGAACTCAGGAGAACCCACATGAACCAAGGAGAACTCAGGAGAACCCAGGTGAAATCAGGAGAACCCAGGAGAACCCAAGAAAATTCAGGAGAACCCAGGAGAACTCAGGAGAAACCAGGTGAACTCAGGAGAACCCAAGGAAATTTAGAAGAACCCAGAAAAACAGAAGAGAAATCAGGAGAACCCAGGAGAACTCAGGAGAACCCAGGTGAACTCAGGAGAACCCAGGAGAACCCAGGAGAACTCAGGAGAATCCAGGGGAACCCAGGAGAA